TTATTATCATCACTATTATTATTACTGTAATCACTATTATCATTATCATTATTAATGGTACTGTTAACATCATTATCATCATTATCATTATTAATGGTACTGTTAACATCATTATTATCATTATCATTATTATTGCTATTATTATCCTTATTATTGTTACTATGAATAGCATTATTACTTTACTTTGGTTATCTTTACAGTTCATATCAAAGGTACTATCACTATTATTTGCTTTTTCATTTTATCGCTAATACTATTCTTATGGTGATCATTACCGTTATCATCATTATAATCATGATCATTATTATTACTGTTGTTCTTGTTTTTTTTATCATTAGTGTTTTCATTATCATTATCATCATTATTGCATTACTTTTATAATCTTTGTCATAACTACTATTTTTCTTTTCTCATTCTTATATTATCATTGTCCTTAGTAGTAGTAATATTCTTTAATTATTAATGTTGGTCCAATTTTTATTAGTATAACCATAATTATGGTGATCATTGTTGTTACTATTTTTTATTATCGTGACTGGTGTTATTATAGTCTTTATTATTATAATTGTTATTATCATCATTATTATAATAATTATCGTTATTATTATGATTATTATTATTATCGTCATTACCATTATTATAATTTTCCATTATCATTGCCGTTATCATTATATTCACTACTATTACCATCATCACTATTGCTGTTATGATTGTTATTATCAATATCATTATCATTTTTGTTGTAATCATTATCACTACCGTTATCATCCATATTATCAGCATCATTATTGTTATTATTATTGTTGTTGCCATTATTATCGTTGTTATTTTCATTATTGTTCTTTCTAGTATCATTATTACTATTGCTAAATTTTCATTATTAGCATTACATTTATCTTCATTATCATCATTAATATTACGGTTATCATTTGTATTACCGTTTTTATTACTACCATTATTACCTTTATCATTACTAGTAGTAACGATATTAGTTGTACTGGTGGTTGTGGAAGTAGCAGTAGTAGTAATATTGGCATTGATATTGTTATTACTATGTTCAGTGAATCAGTTTATATCGTTGTCTTAGTTCTTTCTGTTGTCATTATTATATTAAATAAGGCAACGACAAAGTGGAAAGAGAAAAGAAGAGGTATACAGAGACATAATGAGTCAGGCAGTTAAAATTACTAATCCAAAAACAAAAAAGTTTTGTTTTCAAAATTATAGATTTAGGGGAATGCAAACCTTTTAGTCAAATATGGCAATGAATGATTTTTTTCTATCTAAATAAAATTTATGTTCCAGTGCACGCATGGTACACCTAACAACCAAGTAATTAGAGAGATTCATTACTACTTCTCGTAATAGAATTTTATTACCTCGTGTCTATTATCAACAACAGAAGAATACAGTGCGTAACAATATCAAGAAAAAATAGAGTGAACAAGCACAGATGTATTGCATAAAGACATGTACATTTTCTTGCATGGGTAGCAATGATGATGCCACCTTGACCCTGACACTTCCACTTGGTATATAAGGCTTGGTTCGAGAGACCGACATCACTTACCTCTTGAGCCATTCGACTCGCCACACCCTCCGCCGTCATGAAGATAGTAAGTGTGCAAAATATACATGAATATGTAACACATTCAGAGAAATCAAGGAAACTTCAAGTCAACTTAATTTGCACAGTAACACTTCTGTTCGATGTGCTTGGCTGTTAACTATGTCGATGCGTTAGTAAGATAATTCACGGAAGACTTTAAAACAACCTAAACGACAAAATATATTCTAACTTTTCAGTTTGCCTTCGCCGCACTTGTATCAGTCTGCTTGGCTGACAGACTGCCCAGTCACTTCGGCTATGCCTCTCCACAACCTTCTTCAGCATTCAGCCACAGGTCGCGACCTGCATCTCGACCTTCCTTTTCCGCCCCAAGACCTGCTCTCCAACCAACCTACTCCGCACCGAGGTCTGCTCCTGGCCCAGTAGTGCCCATCCTTGTGGACGACCGCGTCCACCCCGACGCAGGCGCTTACAGCTTCAACGTTGAGACCGGAGACGGCATCTCACGCCAGGAAAGTGGATCACCTATTCCCGCTAAGGAGGGTCCCGTCACGGCCATGTCTGGCTCCTACTCGTGAGTATCGCTATTATATCAAAATTCATTTGATAAGGGAACAATAATGATATTTTTCGCTATTCATTGCCAAACAACATAAATACAGCCAATCCATCTCTTTCAGCTTCACCCTTCCTGATGGACAACTGTTTGAACTTCGCTTCGTAGCTGACGAGAACGGTTTCCAGCCTCAGTCTCCCTTCCTTCCAGTGGCGCCTGCCTTCCCTCACCCCATCCCCGCCCACGCCCTTAGGCAAATCGAGCGCGCCCGCCAAGGACCTTCACAGGGATACAGCGCCCCTTCTCGTCCCTCTCGTCCTTCTAATTCCTATGGTTTTCCGCAGTAAAGCTTTTTAGTGGTAAAAATGTTATTATTTATAACGATTTTAATACTATACAATGTTATTACATTTAACGAATTGTTTCTAATAAATAGCTGAAAAAAGGAGACGTATATCACATGTCCTGCATTTCTCCCTCAATACCTACGTAATATCGTAGTTAAACAAGAGTATACTGTTTGTTTTATCATACTTTTATATAAATATGTGCTGATATGCTGATGTCCAACGATTTCTACATTACCTATTATAATAAAAAAAGGTTATGGATATCAATTTTACGATCATTATTTGCTTTCTGAATAACATCAAAAACGTTTTTTTCTTCTTTCGGTTTCCCCCTTCAGGGATCACCACAATGGAATAATCATCATAGTCTTGGCTTGTTTTATGCCGAATGCCATCCTGCTCCAACCCTCCCCATTTTATACAGGATTGAGATTGGTACTGAGTTGCACTTGCTTGTGCTCCCAGTGGCTGGGGTTTACCTGTAGGTAGTCGAGGTGAAGTTCCTTGCCCAGGGGAACAACGCACCGACTGGTGACTCGATCTCTCGAACTCAGATTGTGGTGACATCTCTCCAACCACTGCGGCCTCTAGTAACATCTCTTATTTATATTATTGTCATGAATATCGTAATTATTATCATGTTTTTCATTATCATGAAAATCAGTATCATCATCATTAAAATCTATATTTGTATCCGGTAGATTGATTTAATTACGACGAACACAAATCGGGAACGTTGGTTAAGTTAATGTGCAGGTTAATCTACCTGATAAAACACTAAGAATTCTTTAAAGCAGTGCTTTACATCATCGTGATCATCTTTAAGCAATATGTTATGATTATGAATGTCATTCTTACTATCGTAATGATAACAGGTTATTGGTTTAATGATGTAACTGATAAGATTCGTTATTGTCATCAACGTTATCCTTATCAGTATCAACACCATCAGTAGCAGCACTGTTCTGAATCATTTACATTTTACATGCTACCACTGTTAATGGCACCATTATCATCGACCTTATTAATGATATAACAATATTTATCGTTCTTCTTATTAAAAGTCTAAGCAATATTGATATTGCTATATCATTCTTATTATGGTTATTGTAGTAATTTTTATCGTCATAACAATTGTTACTATTACTATTAGTTCTATTGTTACTACTACTCTTATTATTACCATTGTAGCTGTTGGTTTTATTGTCATTATCATTATTATTGTTATTATCATTACTACTACTACTATCATTATTATCATTATGATCTTCCCAGCTTATTCCTGTTTTGAATGAGTTTTCTCCATGTATTCCGGTTGTTTACCATCTATCAATATTTTTCTTCCTTAGATCTCCGTTTATGCAATCTATCCATCTAGTTTTAGGTCTCCCTCTTCTTCTGTTTCCTTTTATTTCCATCTCCATGACTTCTCTCCCAACATGATCTTTGCCAACTCTTCTTCTCAAATGTCCAAACCATCTCAATCTTGACTCTTGAATCTTCTTTGACACCTCAACTACTTTAACTGTCCCTCTGATGTATTCATTTCTGATTCTATCTCTTCTCGTCACTCCTACCATCCATCTCAACATTTTCATTTCTGCCCCATTCATGTTTTCTTCAGACTTCTTCAGAGGTGCTGCTTCCAAGCCGTAGATCAGAGCAGGTCTGACTACTGCCTTGTGAAGTTTCAGTCTCACTGGTACTCTCTTGTCACATATCACGCCAGAGACTTTCCTCCAGTTGTTCCAACCACACCGGATTCTAAAGTTCACTTTCCTCTCCATTCCATCTGTCTCTACCATTGATGCCAGGTGTTTAAAGGTTTTTACTCTCTTCAAATCTGTGCCATTCAATTGTGGCTTGTTGGTCGCCACTCGTATCCATCATGAAGTATTCTGTTTTGGATCTACTAATCCTCCTATTTTCCAACGCAACTCTCCATTCTTCTAGTTTCCTCCCTAGTGTTCTACTCTCGGCCACTAAGACAATGTCATCAGCGTATACACCAAGGAATAGTATGTTGAATGTTGAATAGTAGTGGACTTAGTGCCGACCCCTGATGTAAGCCGACCAGCACATGGAAACTGTCAATTGTACCAACTGTAATCCGGACTTTAGTTGTTACATCCTTGTAGTATTCTTGTACTATTCTTACATACTTCTCTTGCACTCCTCTTTCCCACAATTCTCTCCATACAGAAATTCTTGGGGTGGGGCCCTGTCATATGCTTTCTCTAAGTTGATGAAAGCCATAGGTAGCACCTTTTGCTTTTCATGATGTTTCTTCATAGTTTGCTTGAGCGAGATGTCAACCATTCCAACTCCCTTCATAAATCCAAGTTGTTGCCTTCCGATGTGGACGACCGGTCTTAGTCTGCTATCTAGGATCCTTTCCAGCAGCTTCAAGGTGTGGGACATCAACTTAATACCACGATAGTTTTCACAACTTTATATATTTCCTTTCTCTTTAAAGACAGGTATGGCTTCCTTTTCCATTATTTTTTTCATGAGTTGATGCAATATGTCGACTCCATCTCCATCTAGCGCCTTCCAAACTTCAGCTGGTATGCCATCTGGCCCTGTCGATTTACCATTTTTCATCTTCAGTGCTGTGATCACCTCCTGTCTCGTCACTTCTGCTACCTCTTGGTTGTTCGGTTCTCCATCTTCTCTCGTTTTCTTCGTTCAGTAATTTCTCAAAGTAACATTTCCACCTCGTCAAAATCTCTCTTTCATTTCTTAACCCAGTGCCACCGGGAAAAATGAACAAAAAATGAGGAAAATGCTGTGCCCACTTTCTATGTTTTTCGTGAAATGTCTGCCGATAGATGGCTCTGCTAGCGCCTAATTTGAAATGGCGGGAAAAACGTATTTTTCACTAGTGCTATGAAAATCGATGATGTCATTTTTATCATAAACATAATTATTATAATGTTTCTTTTAACATTAGTAACAGCAAAATAAGATAACGTAAAATATTTCGTAAATCAAAGAAACGGGTAAACAGGCGAGACGGGTGGTGCTTGTACCTGGCTCATTGGGGAGTTAGTACAAGTGTTGCCATCTATGCGTAAAAACAATCAAACAAGTACTCACGGTGGGCATAGCACGTACGTACACGTCATACCCGTCGGCATTGGGTTAACACTACTTCTCTTTCATCCTTTATCTGTCTTCTATGCTTAATATCCTTTGTGCTCTTATTTCTTTGCTTTGCCAACTTGAAAACCTTCCCTTGTCCTTCTTTGGTGTCTAACTCTATTTATAGATTATCGTACGCTATTATTATGATCACCATTGTTATTATCATTAGCAGTAGTAGTAATGCTACTACTACTATTTATATTATCATGATTATCATCATTGTCATTATTATTATTATCATCATGATTATTTTTATCATTATCATTGTCATTATCTTTAATACTATTATTATTCATTATCATCATTATCATTATCATTATTATCGTTATTATCATTACTACTTCTACTGCTATTACTATTATCATTATCATAATCTTTACTACTATTATAATTCTTGTTATTTTATCATTATCGTTGTAATTATTAATGGCACTATCATCATCGTTATTATCATTATTCTTTAAAGTTAGTATCATTATGACTATTACCACTTTTATTATCATTATATATGTATTAGTATTCTCACTGCTATTATTGCTACTATGCTATTATGATTATGATTATCATTTTTTATATTCATTGTTGTTGTTGCACTCATTAAATCATCAACATTAGCATTAATATTAAAATCATCAGTGTCAGCATTATTGTTCTTAAAGTTATCACAAGTATTATCGTTATCATTTTATTGATTTTCTTATTTCCATTAGCACGATTATTTCTATGAGTATCAATATCACTATCCTCATCATTATCATTAGTTTTATTTTCATTACCAATTCTTGTTATTTTATCATTATCGTTGTAATTATTAATGGCACTATCATCATCGTTATTATCATTATAATCATTGTTGTTATTCTTGTTTTATTGTTGTTGTTGTTGATACAAAAGGACAACAGCAAAAATAATAATAGGAAGAAGAAAATGATAAATAATAATAATGATCATGATAATATTTGGGATGATAATAATAGTGACACTAATGAGAATGATAGTAATGACACTAATGATAATAATACTAGTAACAATGATTGTGATAGCGATAATGATAATAATTGTGATGAAAATAATTATCTCTATTATTACTACTATGAGGATGATAATTATCATTATAAGTATCATTATCATTATTATTATTAATACTGTATTGACAATAACGATAACAATTATCATTACTCTTTAAAGTTAGTATCATTATGACTATTACCACTTTTATTATCATTATATATGTATTAGTATTCTCACTGCTATTATTGCTACTATGCTATTATGATTATGATTATCATTTTCATATTCATTGTTGTTGTTGCACTCATTAAATCATCAACATTAGCATTAGTATTAAAATCATCAGTGTCAGCATTGTTGTTCTTAAAGTTATCACAAGTATTATCGTTATCATTTTATTAATTTTCTTATTTCCATTAGCACGATTATTTCTATGAGTATCAATATCACTATCCTCATCATTATCATTAGATTTATTTTCATTACCTTTACCATCATTACTGTGTTATTATAAACATTATTATCATTATTATCATTTTCTATTTTTATTCTTATCTGTATCTCTATTCTTGTAATCATAATTTGATTATTGCTATTAGCAGTAGTAATATCATTCTATAATTACTGTTATTACATTACTGTTATCATAATTATTACTATTATCATTACTATAATTATTGTCATTACCCTAATCATCGTTATCATTATCATTATCTTCACATCTTTACTACTATGATTATCAATATGATTACCATTATCATTATTATTTTTGTTGTTATTACTATTATTACTGATTTTATAACCATTATTGCTAATATTAATGTTATTAATTTATAGTATTTTTTTATTATTATATTAATAATAATTACTCGTAATATTATCAATATTAACTACATCGACATTATCATTGTTACTGCTGTTATCATCTTTATTCTCTTATCCTCTTATAATAATAACTGTAGTAGTAGTTGAAGCAGTAGTAGTTGTATTGCGGTTATTATTGCTATTACTATAATGATTACTTTAATTTGTATTATTGTTGTCGCTGTTCTTTAGATTACTGTAATTATTATAGCTTTTGTTACATATCATTTTTTATAATGATGCCTTACTAGCACAGAGGAACTAAAAGAACGATAAAGAGGAAAGAGAAAAGTAGAAAAGATACATATACAGAGAAGTGGATGCTGAGTGAAATGATATTGTTAATTAGACTGTGTAAGGAAATTTGTTTTGATTTTTCTCTAGTTTTTCTTTAGACACTTCCGGTTCTCCCTCAATTCCGTCAGTTTAGCGATAAAAAGTAAACGAAAATAAAAAAAGAAAGCTATTCATGGCCTAAAAATGACAATTTTCGTTGTACCCTGATACCCAAAACCTATTACGAAATTAAGTACTTAAGTACTTTCTTGAAATATGATTTGCATCAGGGATGGAATGAGTCTATCAGAACCGGTTAACAAGAATGAATATTGTAACAATATCAAGAATGAATAAAGTGAACAGGCACAGACGTATTGCATAAGGGCATGTGCATTTCCTTGGGTGATAATGCCACCTTGACCCTGACTCTTCCACTCGGTATATAAAGCTTGGTTCGAGAGACCGGCATCATTCACCTCCTCTGCCATTCACCTCGCCACACCCTTCGCTGCCATGAAGATCGTAAGTCAGCCAAATATCTAATCTAGTCATTATTATTTCTATTGTCATCACTGTTACAATCATTATTTTATCATATGTTAACATATAAATCACTCAGTAAGCTCATTCACAGAAGCTGTTAAGACAACGTAATCAACGTATCATATTTCAATTTTTCAGCTTGTATTCGCCACAGTTATATCAGTGTGCTTGGCTGACAGACTGCCCAGTCACTTCGGCTATGCCTCTCCACAACCTTCTTCAGCATTTAGCCACAGGCCGCGACCTGCATCTCGACCTTCCTTTTCCGCCCCAAGACCTGCTCCCCAACCTACCTACTCTGCCCCGAGGTCTGCTCCCGGTCCAGTAGTGCCCATCCTTGTGGACGACCGCGTCCACCCCGACGCCGGCGCTTACAGCTTCAACGTTGAGACCGGTGACGGCATCTCACGCCAGGAAAGTGGATCACCTATTCCCGCTAAGGAGGGTCCCGTTACGGCCATGTCTGGCTCCTACAGGTGAGTGTCGTTATATATATCAATCTTCATTTCATAAAGGAACCTGGTTCATACGTTTGCATTGCTCATTCCGAAACAACATAAACAGTCAATCCATCTCTTTCAGCTTCACTCTTCCTGACGGACAACTGTTTGAGCTTCGCTTCGTAGCTGACGAGAACGGCTTCCAACCTCAGTCGCCCTTCCTTCCCGTGGCGCCAGCCTTCCCTCATCCCATCCCCGCCCACGCCCTTAGGCAAATCGAGCGCGCCCGTCAAGGACCTTCTCAGGGATACAGCGCCCCTTCTCGTCCCTCTCGCCCTTCTAATTCCTATGGCTTTCCTCAGTAGACATTTTTAGTCGCCATAATGGCACGATATTATTTCAAGTTATATTATTTGTAACGATCTCAATGCATTGTACAGTATTGTTGCACTTAACAAATTGTTTCGAATAAAACAAATAAAAAAATGTCTTGCAAATCTTTATCCAAATGTACCTCCTCACTAATTTAGACTTCTACATCCTTACCTATGCATTCTTATAATCAAACAAGACTACATGAATTAATATTACTATCATTTCTATTCTTATAAACTTCTTGAATATAATCAGCACCATCCGTTGTTATTATTATGTTATGACTATCATAATCATTAACATCAATATTGATTTCAACATTTATATCAGGTTGATTGACTAAAATATGGTGAACACAAACTGAAATCATCACCATTTTATCACCATCGCCATTATTAAACAGCATGCTACAGTTATGATTATCATTGTTATTAATAATGAATAGAATCGCAATCGATGTCGATTCTTCTATTATCATTTTTATTATCAAAATAATCATGGTTATTGGTTTACTATTGCTGTAACTAGTGATATGATATATATATATATTATATATATGTGTCAATATATATATGTGTCATTATAACAGTTGTCAATATTACCCGTATTGATATCATCATCAGTATCAGCATTATTGTTATTAAGGTTCTTTCACGTTATCATTAATATTGTTATTATCATTATTATTCATATTACTTCTGCTATTACTATAATTATTATAAATATCATTATCATTATCATTATTTGCATTACTATTAATCGTACTATCATTATTATTGCCATCATTGTTATTGCTATTATGAATTTTATTATTTTCATCTTCATTTTCATTAGTATTACTATAATTTTCATTATTGTTGTTTGATATCAACATGCTGATCATTACTGTTATTATTATTCATATATTCATTATCATCACTGTTGTTATTATCATTATAATCATAATTATTATCATCATCATCATCCTTATTATTATTGTCATTATTATTATCATCGCTATTATTATTACCATTACCATTATTATCATTGTTGTTATTATTTTTTTTTATCACTCTTAGTAGTTGTATAACTATTCTTATCAATAATATTGTTATTATTATCCTTATTATTATCATCATCATCATCATCATACTCAGTATTTTTATTATTTTCATTATTATTGTTATTATCATTAATATCATTACAATTATTGTTATTATTGTTATTAGTAGTAGTATTACTACTACTATCATTATTTCTATTATTACTATTATTATTATCACTATAAATATCATTATTACCTATATTATTATATCAATAGATCATATGAAAGGTACTATCATTATCAGTTGCTTTTTTATTAGTAGTACATCGTCATCATTACCGTTTTCATCAAGATTATCATTGTTATTATCATTATCATTATTATTTTGTTGATCTTTTCATTATCATTATCATTATCATCATTACATTACTTTTATAACATTTGCCATTATTACTTTTTTTTCTCATTCTTATATTCACCATTGTCATTATCATTAGTAGTAGTAGTAGTTTATAATTACCAATGTTGTAACAATTATTATCATCATAATTATACTATTTTCTATTATAACTGATATTATTGCCGTTATTATCATCTTTATTGGTGTTATTATTTTTATTGTTATTATTATTGTTATCATCATCATTATCATCATTATTAGTATCATCATTATCGTTATTGTCATTATTATCATTATTAATTCTGTTATGATTGTTATTATCAGTGCCATTATTATTGTTGTCGTAATCATTGTCCGTATTATTGGTATCATTATCATTATTATTTTTTTGTCATTGTTATGAATGTTATTATTATCCTCATCATTATCGTTATTTCTAGTATCAATATTAATAGTATTACTATATTTCCATAATTATCATTACTTTTATCATTATTATGATCATTGATATTACGGTTATAATTTTTATTACCATTTCCATTACTATCACTATTATCTTATTTTTATCATTACTATATTCATTGCTCCAGTTTATATTATCATTTTCCTCATTATTTCCATTGCTATTACTATACATTTGGTATTATTTGTTATTATCATTGTTGCTGATGATAATGCAGTATTAGTACAAATAAATTATAGCAACGGAAAGGTAGATGGAGAAAACTTACATATTGAATTAAAATAGATGATTAATCGGAATGCTTCTGGAAAATAATACAATTTTGTGTTTTTTAAACTACAGATATAGGGGAATGCAAACTTTCTCCTTGAATATTACACTGAATGTTTATTTTCACAACCTGATATTCATGACGTAAGAAATAACTTTTATGTTGCAGTAATACGCCTAACAACCGAGGAATTAACGAGATTCATTATTACGTTTCGCAATATGATTTTATTACTCCTTTTCTATTATCACTGGCAAAAGAATGAATTAAAGTGAACACTGGTGTATTTTATAAGCACGTGCATATTTTCTTGCGTGGGTAGTAATTATGCCACCTTGACCCTGACACTTCCACTTGGTATATAAAGCTTGGTTCGAGAGACCGGCATCACTTACCTCTGGAGCCATTTGACTCGCCACACCACACCCTCCGCCATGAAGATAGTAAGTGTACAAAACATGACACATTCATAATCACAGGGAATTCTTTTTTAGCACAGTAACACTTTTTTGTTTGCTAGATTATTCCAGTGATCTAAATCAAATTATAGATGTGTTAGTAAGAAAATTCACAGAAGATTTTAAGACAAAATTAACATGATATCTTATTCTAACTTTTCAGTTTGCATTCGCCGCACTTGTATCAGTCTGCTTGGCTGACAGACTGCCCAGTCACTTCGGCTATGCCTCTCCACAACCTTCTTCAGCATTCAGCCACAGGTCGCGACCTGCTTCTCGACCTTCCTTTTCTGCCCCAAGACCTGCTCTCCAGCCAACCTACTCCGCACCAAGATCTGCTCCTGGTCCAGTAGTGCCCGTCCTTGTGGACGACCGCGTCCACCCCGACGCAGGCGCTTACAGCTTCAACGTTGAGACCGGTGACGGCATCTCACGCCAGGAAAGTGGATCGCCTGTTCCCGCCAAGGAGGGTCCCGTCACGGCCATGTCTGGCTCCTACTCGTGAGTGTCGCTATTATATCAAAATTCATTTGATAAGGGAAAAATAATGATATTTTTCACTATTCATTGCGAAACAACATAAATACAGCCAATCCATCACTTTCAGCTTCACCCTTCCTGACGGACAACTGTTTGAGCTTCGTTTCGTAGCTGACGAGAACGGCTTCCAGCCCCAATCGCCCTTCCTTCCCGTGGCGCCTGCCTTCCCTCATCCCATCCCCGCCCACGCCCTTAGGCAAATCGAGCGCGCCCGTCAAGGACCTTCTCAAGGATACAGCACCCCGTCTCGTCCCTCTCGTCCTTCTAATTCCTATGGCTTTCCTCAGTAAAACTTTTTAGTGCCAAAATGATACGAAAATTTAGTTATATTATCTATGATAATCTTACTGCATTATACAATATTGTTACATTTAACGAATTGTTTTGAATAAAATAATTTTTAAAGGAGACTTGTACATTACTAAACATCCTCCTGGTTATGTTTGAATTTATTTTTCTTTGTGGCGCTATTCAATGAATTCAATGCAATCTCCCTCCTTACGGAGATTTAATCAAGGCGTAAAGGCTGATAGAATTGTAATTCCCATTTCCATAATGCTTTCTAAGCACCATTTTTCATTATTCTGTTAAGAATACCGTAATCATTATCATCAGATACACTAACCCATGTTCACCACAAACCGAAAACATTACTCAAGTTATTATGCTGGTTCAACTGCCTTAAAAACCGCAGTGAATTATCTACAGGAGTGATGTACAGTCGCTAAACAAAAGCGATTAGAAAAATTGCTGTAAGCTCGACCCCTCCAGGAGCGTCATTTGGCGTGGGGGGGGGGGGAGTTTTCCCTTCTAGACTCAAACAGCCCAGTGGCTTCTAACAGTCTGCATATAACTAAGTAGAAAATTATTCACGCTAAGGGGATGTGGCAACTAACTACCAGCCACACACACCTCTCAAACCCAGTCAGCTGTGAAGGTTGTTGCCACTGAGTATGAAATGGTTTCCATTAGCTCGTAATATTCAAGCTTCCTCTAATATATCAAGCTTCCTCTTTGACTTTCAAAGAGCACATTGAATTGTAGTTTTGAATGACATTTACTTGATCTTCCTCTGTCGTGCATCTAAAGCACCCACTTCTGACCATGTCCCTGGTGGATCCAGCTGCCTGGTGGATCCACAGAGACACGGCTTCGAAATACCTAACATTCTTGATATTTCGGCCCTTGATGGTCCTTCAGAGTAAAGCGCAAATATGATAGTATGAATAGTCTATGAGGTCTCCATTGCTAATGTTACCATAGTACAAGGCCCTATCCATACCGACTCCGAAACACTATTCGAACACATTATGAAGCTTCATCTATTTCGAGCTTTGAAAACAAGTACCAACCTTTCCGAATCAGCTCCAAGCAATCGTTCGGTTTTATCTACTCCCATGTAGATATTTTTTTAGTGAGTGTACATTATCATTATCACGATTATCATCAAGCAACATATAATGATTGAGATATGATTGTCAGTATTATTAATGAACATCAACATCACAATCATTAATATTCAGTATAATAATGATACCGGTTGTTAGTTTACTGTTGTTTATGTAGCTCCTAATATCACTGACAGGATGATTGTTATCTTACAAGTTTTAGCATCATTAGGGTCAGCATTGCTCTTTTTATGGTTGTTTTATTATCATTATCATTATTATCATTGTAATTACTGTTGCTATCGTTATCATTATTACTGTCATTACCATCATTACCATTATCATTATCCTTATCATTGTTATTGTTATTATTATTGTTATTATCATTATCAGTATTATTCATTTTTACCATTATTATAATTGATGGTATTATTACCTTTGTCATTATCAGTGTTATAATTTTCATATATGTTATAGTAATCATTACTAACTTTCTCATTACCACTATCATTAGTATTAGGTATATTACTATTGCCACAATGATTTTAT